ATCCTCATCCCTGTTCCTGCCTCATCCCACAGCTGCTCTCCCAGCCCGAAATCCTCACCCCTGAGTCCATTCCTGCTCCTGCCTCATCCCACAGCTGCTCTCCCAGCCCCAAATCCTCATCCCTGTTCCTGCCTGGTCCCACAGCTGCTCTCCCCGCCCCCGATCCCATTCCCGTGCCCGGTTCAGCCCTGGCTGACGAGAAGAGCTCCAAAGGAGGGATTTATTGGAAGCTGTAACCCGATCCCGGGTCCGGCTCCAGTGCCCGGTTCCCGGCGGTCGCTCCGGGCGCTTTCTGGCAGCGGTGCCCACCCGCAGCAGCCCCGGGACGGCGGGGAGGGGGCCGGGGGGTACCCGGGGGTCCCGTCCCGGTGCCCTTTGTCCCGGGGGGTGCCCGGGGGTCCCGTCCCGGTGCCCTTTGTCCCGGCCGGGCCGGGGGTTGATGCCGCCTTTGTTCACCCTCGGGGGCGGCCCCGGAGCTGCAGCAGCTGCCGGGGATCGGGTTTATCCTCCCCCCCCCGGCACAGGGCACAGGACGGGGCACGTTCGTGTCCGCACGGAGAGGGGGATGTGTCCCCCCCCGCGGGCCCGGCTGCTCTTCCCGCCCCGTTCCGGAGCCTCCCGGATCCCGGCGGGATCGTTCGGGGCTGGGAGGGACCAGCCCGGGCTCCTGCTGCGGGTCCCAAAAACGAGATGGGCTTTGGGGTCCCTCCAGCCCGAACCATCCCGTGATTCCGTGACGATTCTGTGGGTCCCGCTGGCTCTGTGTGCACTGGGAGGCTGCTGGGATCACTGGGAAGGCTGCTGGGATCACTGGGAAGGCTGCTGGGGTCACTGGGAAGGCTGCTGGGGTCACTGGGATCACTGGGAAGGCTGCTGGGATCACTGGGAAGGCTGCTGGGGTCACTGGGGTCACTGGGAAGGCTGCTGGGATCACTGGGGTCACTGAAGTCACTGGGGTCACTGGAAGGTTACTGGGATCACTGGAAGGCTGCTGGGATCACTGGGATCACTGGGATCACTGGGGTCACTGGAAGCCTGCTGGGATCACTGGAGTCACTGGGGTCACTGGAAGGCTGCTGGGCTCACTGGGATCGCTGGGGTCACTGGGATCACTGGGGTCACTGGGGTCACTGGAAGGCTGCTGGGATCACTGGAGTCACTGGAAGGCTGCTGGGCTCACTGGGCTCACTGGAAGGCTACTGGGATCACTGGGATCACTGGGGTCACTGGAGTCACTGGGGTCACTGGGAGGCTGCTGGGATTACTGGAAGGCTGCTGGGGTGACTTGCTGGGGTCACTGGGGTCACTGGGAGGCTGCTGGGATTACTGGAAGGCTGCTGGGGTGACTTGCTGGGGTCACTGGGATCACTGGAAGGCTGCTGGGATCACTGGGATCACTGGAAGGCTGCTGGGGTCACTGGGATCACTGGGCTCACTGGGGTCACTGGGAGGCTGCTGGGCTCACTGGGCTCACTGGGCTCACTGGGGTCACTGGGGTCACTGGCAGGCTGCTGGGGTCACTGGGCTCACTGGGGTCACTGGAAGGCTGCTGGGGTCACTGGGGTCACTGGAAGGCTGCTGGGATCACTGGAGTCACTGGAGTCACTGGAAGGCTGCTGGGATCACTGGGATCACTGGGGTCACTGGAAGGCTGCTGGGGTCACTGGGGTCACTGGGAAGGCTGCTGGGGTCACTGGGGTCACTGGGATCACTGGGATCACTGGTGTTACTGGGGTCACTGGAAGGCTGCTGGGATCACTGGGAGGTTGATGGGATCACTGGGAAGGCTGCTGGGGTCACTGGGATCACTGGGATCACTGGAAGGCTGCTGGGATCACTGGGATCACTGGGATCACTGGAAGGCTGCTGGGCTCACTGGGGTCACTGGAAGGCTGCTGGGGTCACTGGGCTCACTGGGGTCACTGGAAGGCTGCTGGGCTCACTGGGCTCACTGGGGTCACTGGGCTCACTGGGATCACTGGAAGGCTGCTGGGCTCACTGGGCTCACTGGGCTCACTGGGGTCACTGGGCTCACTGGGCTCACTGGGGTCACTGGCAGGCTGTGGCCAGCAGGGCCAGCCGGGGCCGTCCGTGCCGGGCTTTGTGTGGAGCACGTGGAGCCTGTGCCGGGCAGGAGGAGGAACAGAGGGGGCTTTGTGTGCCCACAGCAGGGACGGGGCCACGAGCTGCCCGGGCAGACCCTGCCAAGGAGCCCGCCCCGAGTCCGGGGGGGACCAGTCCCGAGGGAGGGATCAGCCCCCAGAGCTGGGTGAGACCCCAGAGCTGGGTGAGACCCCAGCCCCAGGTGAGACCCCAGCCCCAGGTGAGACCCCAAAGTTGGGTGAGACCCCAGAGCTGGGTGAGACCCCAAAGTTGGGTGAGACCCCAGAGCTGGGTGAGACCCCAAAGTTGGGTGAGACCCCAGAGCCGGGTGAGACCCCAGAGCTGGGTGAGACCTCAGAGCTGAGTGAGACCCCAGAGCAGGGTGAGACCCCAGAGCTGGGTGAGCCCCCAGCCCCAGCAGTGGGATCAGCCCTGGCAGTGGGACCAACTCCAGCAGTGGGATCAGCCCCAGCAGCAGGATGAGCCCCCAGCCCTGGGGGGATCAGTCCCCAGGGAGGGATGAGCCCCCAGAGCTGGGTGAGACCCCAGAGCTGGGTGAGCCCCCAGCCCCAGCAGTGGGACCAGCCCCAGCAGCAGGATGAGCCCCCAGAGCTGGGTGAGACCCCAGAGCTGGGTAAGACCCCCAGCCCCAACAACAGGACCAGCCCCAGCAGTGGGACCAGCCCCATGAGCAGGATGAGCCCCCAGCCCTGGGGGGATCAGTCCCCAGGGAGGGATGAGCCCCCAGAGCTGGGTGAGCCCCCAGCCCCAACAGCAGGATCAGCCCCATGAGCAGGATGAGCCCCCAGCCCTGGCAGGGAGCGTAAGATCCCCCCTGGCAGGGGGACTCTGCTCTTCCTGGGCAGGAATCGGCTTTCAGTGGGATTTATTTCTTGTTTGTTCAGTTAGTTATTGATGGATTTACGCCCAAAAGCACCTTTGCTCTGCCGGGGACGGGGAGGTGACTGTGCAGCAAGGGCACATTCACGGTGTGCACACCAAAGCACCGGGTTCAGGTGCTCAGGGAGCCCTGAATTAAATTCCCAGCAGTGGTTGGAGGTGGGCCAGACAAACCAGTTACATAAACCAGCCAGACAAACCAGTAAGGGCTGTGCAATGAGCTGCTGTTGTGCCACCTGATGGTAAAAGGAAAGGGGTTTTGTGGGTTTGTGGGTTGCCTGTGGAGCAGGTGGTGCCCTCCCATCCTGGGGTCCCCCCAGACCACCCCCGTCCCCCCAGCACGTCCCTCGGGGGGTCTGACCCCCTCCCTGCCCGTAGGTGAACCAGGGGAACATGCCGGGCATCCAGAGCACCTTCCTGGCCATGGACACGGAGGAGGGGGTGGAGGTGGTGTGGAACGAGCTGCTCTTCACCGACAAGAAGGCCTTCAAAGCACACGAGGTCAGTGACCCCCCCCAGCACCTTCCCCCGTGGGCACTGCGGGCACAGCCGGGCAGGGTGGGCTCCCCCCTTCCCTGGGCCTGCCTCCTCACCCCTCAAAGGCAGCTCCAGTGTCCTCCAGACCCCACACCAGTGTCCCTGTGACCGGGGCACAGTCCCTTCCCAGCTCTCAGGGGTGTCCTGTCACATCCCAGGACCTGCCACCTCCCAGGACCTGCCACCTCCCCTGCCCTGTCACATCCCAGGCCCTGCCACGTCCCCTGTCCTGCCACCTCCCCTGTCCTGCCACCTCCCAGGACCTTCCATGTCCCAGGACCTGCCACATCCCAGGACCTGCCACATCCCAGGACCTGTCACCTCCCCTGCCACCTCCCCTGCCCTGTCACATCCCAGGCCCTGCCACGTCCCCTGTCCTGCCACCTCCCCTGTCCTGCCACATCCCAGGACCTGCCACATCCCAGGACCTGTCACCTCCCCTGCCACCTCCCCTGTCCTGCCACCTCCCCTGTCCTGTCACATCCCAGGACCTGCCACCTCCCCTGTCCTACCACCTTCCCTGTCCTGCCACCTTCCCTGTCCTGCCACCTCCCCTACCTTGCCACCTCCCAGGACCTTCCACGTCCCAGGACCTGTCACATCCCAGGACCTTTCACGTCCCAGGACCTGCCACCTCCCCTGTCCTGCCACCTCCCCTATCCTGTCACATCCCAGGACCTGTCACCTACCCTGCCACCTCCCCTGTCCTGTCACATCCCAGGACCTGTCACCTACCCTGCCCTGTCACCTCCAGGACCTGCCACCTCCCCTGTCCTGCCACCTCCCCTGTCCTGCCATCTCCCAGGACCTGCCACCTCCCCTGCCCTGTCACCTCCAGGACCTGTCACCTCCCCTGTCCTGCCACCTCCCCTGTCCTGCCACCTCCCCTGTCCTGCCACCTTCCCTGTCCTGCCACCTCCCCTGCCCTGTCCCAGGCCCCCCTGACGTGCCCCCCGTGTGCCCCCAGGAGAAGATCAAGACCATGTTCGAGCAGCTGGTGCTGGTGGATCACCCCAACATCGTGAAGCTCCACAAGTACTGGCTGGACGTGAAGGACTCCAAGGCACGGGTAGGGGGGTCCTGGGGGGGTCCCGGGGGGTCCTGGGGGTCCCGGGGGTCCCAGGGTGGGGGTCCCAGGTCCGGGACCTGCCCCCAGCATCCCCTGAGCCGTGCAGGGCCGGGGGAGCTGATCCTGCTCTCCCCCTGCCCAGGTGATCTTCATCACAGAGTACGTGTCCTCGGGGAGCCTCAAACAGTTCCTCAAGAAAACCAAGAAGAACCACAAGGCCATGAACGCCCGGGTGGGTTCCTGGCAGCTCACAGGGTGTCCCGGGTGAGGGGGGGCTCCAGCAGCACGGGGAGGGTCTCTGGGATCCCCCAAGGCAGGACAGGGAGGGGTTGTTGCTCCCTGGGTCACCCCAGACCCTGCTGTGGGGAAGGGGCTGGAGCAAGAGGGTCTCTGGGATCCCCCAAGGCAGGACAGGGGTGATTTGTTGCTCCCTGGGTCACCCCAGACCCTACTGTGGGGAGGGGGCTGGAGCAAGAGGGTCTCTGGGGTCCCCCAAGGCAGGACAGGGGTGATTTGTTGCTCCCTGGGTCACCCCAGACCCTGCTGTGGGGAGGGGGCTGGAGCAAGAGCAGAGCTGCCCCAGGAGAGCCCAGACTGGGTCCTGCTGATCCCAAGTGGGGACCCCACGGGGAGCACCAGGGGTGGGGGACACTGTCCTGGGGAGCTCTGGGTGTTCCCACCCCCCTCACCAGGGCTGGGGCAGGGGACAGGGGACAGTGTCACTGCAAACCCACTGCCCAGCCGTGGGGTGAGCACCTCCAGGACCCTCCAGTCCCACCCTTTGCACTGTCCCAGGTTGCTCCAGGCCCCGTCCAGCCTGGCCTGGGACACTTCCAGGGATCCAGGGGCAGCCACAGCTCCTCTGGGCAGCCTGTGCCAGGGCCTCCCCACCCTCACAGGGAGGGATTTCTCCCCAGTATCCCATCAAACCCTGCCCTCTGTCCGTGGAAAGCCATTCCCTTGTCCTGGCATTCCAGGCCCGTGTCCAAAGTCCCTCCCAGCTCTCCTGCAGCTTTGAGCCTTTGCTGGACTCGGGGAACAGGGGGAACAGGAGGAACAGGGGGCTGCTGTGGTGGGACAGCGTGGGATCCATCCCTGAGCCTGGGCAGGGAACGTCCCTGCCCCTGGGAATGGGTGGGATCAATCCCTGAGCCTGGGCAGGGCACAGGGGATGTCCCTGGGAATGGGAA